GTAGAGTGCTATAGCATCACAGCTCAGAGCAACCTCAGACTCTTGGGCGTAAGCCATTCTCTTGCCTTGGCCTCCCAAGTAGCTGGGACTGTAGGCTCCCGCCATAAGGCTCAGCTATTTTTTTGATGATCATTGTTACTTAGCTGGCCTGGGCGGGGTTCGAACCCACCAGCCTCCGTGTATGTGGCTGGTGGTATAATTACTGTGCTACGGGCGTTGATCCTTATCTTTTTTTTTATTGTTTCAGGTTAATTGAGGGTACAATGAATTAGGGTACATTGTTTGCATTTGTTAAGTAAAGCCTCTCTTGTGGCTCGGTGCCTGTGGCTTAAGCAGCTAAGGCGCCAGCCACATAGACCTGAGCTTGTGTGTTTGAATCCAGCCTCGGCCTGCCAAACAACAGTGATGGCTGCAACCAAAAAATAGCTGGGCGTTGTGGCAGACGCCTAGCTACTTGGGAGGTGGAGGCAGAGAATCACTTGAGCCCAGGAGTTGGAGGTTGCTGTGAGCTTCAATGCCAGAGTGCACTACCCAGGGCGACAGCTTGAGGCTCTGTATCAAAAAAAAAAAAAAGCCCCTCTTGTAATTGTGTCCAGCCTCCAAGATGTGGGCTATACACCCTAACATTGGGCTCATTACGTTGGAGCACACCTGTCCTCTTCCCTCCTCTCCTCTCCCCGTTGCCTTGTTCCTCCACCCCCCAAAAGCCCCTCTTGTAATTGTGTCCAGCCTCCAAGATGTGGGCCATACACCCTAACATTGGGCTCATTACGTTGGAGCACACCTGTCCTCTTCCCTCCTCTCCTCTCCCTGTTGCCTTATTCCTCCGCCCCCTTGAATTGCTACCTGCTGCCTTGAATTGATTTGAGTTTTCCTCTTAATGTGGGCAGTGTGTATTAGATTGTCTACTGGCTTCATATTACAATTGAGAACACTGGATTCTTGCTTTTCCATTCGTTTCATAGTTTGGTAAGAAGAATGCGTTCCCATTCTAGGTGGAAGAGCTTCAATGATTAAGGATAACCCATTTTAAATTTTTTGTTTCCATTCTGAATCAGTTAGGTTTCTGCCCTAAAACAGAATGTTGAAACTGGAATTCTTCGTTTTTTTGTGTATTGAAAATTTTTGTTTATTTTTTTATTAAGTCATGTATACATAGATCATGAATACAATTATGTCTTTGTGGGATTCAATGTGTTCATTATTTGTATGAATTAGAGTGCTTATATCCTACTTATTAACAGAGCTTTCACCTTACTTAATCAGTGTTAAGACATTTGTGTTCAATACTTGATAGATTTGACTTATACCCTTGCAATATGCTCCATAAGTGAAACTAGAATTCTTAAAATTCCTTTAGCCTAGTTCCTATATCTTCCAAATAGGAAACTGAGGTGAAGTTGTAAGTTACCACCTTCTTTATTAATTTGGAGATCCTATGAGGCCTTACCTGAGCTGAGGATCCTATGATCCTATGAGGCCTTGCCTAACCTGAGCCTTGAAAGCTGGATACCTGGCCTTTGGTTTGGCTTTTTCCTCCCCAGGCTCGTGCTGAGGTACTTTGTACTTTTTCATTGTAGTTGTGTCTCCCCCCGCCCCACCCCGGGAACTAGAAATAGGGGCCATATCCTATGAAATTGTTATTGATTCCAGTGCGGATGAGGTTCGAAGAAAATCTCTGGTTCTCAAGTTCCCTAAGCAGCAACTTCCTCCCAAGAAGAAACGCCGAGTTGGAACCACTGTTCACTGTGACTATTTGAATGTGAGTATCTGTATTGCTTCCTTCTGATCAGATAGGTCTAATTGATTTTCCCTAGCTTTCTATACTATAGCTTTGACAGTGTTAGTTTCTCCCTTTGGTCCCACCCTGAGAATTACATGTACTGTTCATTATAAAATTCCTAAAATATATTTGCCTGGATATAGAACATGGGGTTTTTTGATCTAAAGAAGCATTCTGATTTCTTGTTTCTTGTTAGAGACCTCATAAATCCATCCACCGGCGCCGGACAGACCCTATGGTGACACTGTCATCCATCTTGGAGTCTATCATTAATGATATGAGAGATCTTCCAAATGTGAGTTTCTTGCATTGGATATCTATTGTAGGGCTGGCAAGACTCTTTGTTCTAAAATCACAAATAGAACAGTTCGCATATAGACCTAGGTGCATAGACATAGGTCTTCTTGAGACATAGATTTTTTTTTGTTTTTTTTTGTTTTTTTTGGAGACAGTTTTTGTCACCCTCGGTAGAGTGCTATGGTATCATAGCTCACAGCAACCTCAAACTCAAGAGGCTCAAGCAATTCTCTTGCCTCAACCTCCCAATTAGATGGGATTATAGGCGCCTGCCACAACAGCGGCTATTTTTTAGAGATGAGGTCTTGATGTAGCTCAGGCTGATCTCTGAGTCTCACTCTGTCTCTCTAGGTAGAATGCCATGGCGTCATAGCTCACAGCAATCTCAAACTCCTGGGCTCAAGTGATCCTCTTGCCTCAGCCTTCTAAGTAGCTGGCCCCACAGGCATGCACCACTATACCTGGCTAGTTTTTCTATTTTTAGTAGAGATGGGGGTCTTGCTGTTGCTCAGGCTGGTCTCAAACTATGCCTCAGCTCCCAGAATGCTAGGATTACAGACGTGAGCCACCACGCCTGGTGTGGGTTTTTTTTTTTTTTTTTTTAAACAGTGTACTAGGAGAAATAGATCTGTTTCATCTAGAAAGGTTTCTTTGACAGGCCAGGTAGACAGGTAAGATGTGAGAGTTTCAGGAACTGCTCTCGAAAGTGTTCTTTGCTCATAGATGGTTCTGGCTGTTATTTGCACAGACATACCCTTTCCACACTCCAGTCAATGCAAAGGTTGTAAAGGACTACTACAAAATCATCACCCGACCAATGGACCTACAAACACTCCGTGAAAATGTGCGTAAACGGCTCTACCCATCTCGGGAAGAGTTCAGAGAGCATTTGGAGCTAATCGTAAAAAATAGTGCAACCTACAATGGTAAGAATCACCTGTTCTTTGAATGTAAAGGTCACCTTTCAGTTATTACTGGTTCTAAATTCAGACTAGAGTAGACTGACTGGAAAGGTTGCAACATACTAGTTAGTGTATTTGGTGGTATGAAAATATGGTAGTATACATTTTCAGTCATTTAATCACTACTGCTTCTACCCCTTCCCCCCCACCACACACACACTATTTAATTCTTAGATCCTCTGGAGAATTGGGGGTTCATCCAAAGTCTCAACACTGTTGCCCTGGGTAGAGTGCCAAGGCATCATAGCTCACATTAATGAAAGTGTTCTTGGAGCTTCTGATCGGAGATGCAGGGAAAAGGAACTGCAGACGGGATGATTGATTGAGACTCACTCAGGTCAGGGACCAGGCCTGACTTTACTGATTATCTTATATACTTTCAAACATTCAGTAAGAATTTAACACAGATACAAAGAAGTGAAGTAACATTAGGAAGCTACCATTAAGATTACAATTTAGTGTGAAGGCTGAGGAACACATATACAATTGATTTTGTTTAGAGTAAAAACATAAAGGAGACTGTCTGTTTTTGCTGGCCCAAACCTAAACGAGATTATAATGTTAATGAAGGACGAAGACAGAGAACAGGACTCAACACTCGAGGACATGTATTCAAGCTCCCAGCTGCACCCCGGCCTGATTCTCCAGGATTTCTAAAGAGAGTTATTCTGCATATTCCTGCATATCTATAGGCAGGTGCAGAAGCTTATCTTTGAAGAAATCTTTCTCAGAATCAATTTCCTGGGGGAGCACATTGAAGCGAACTGCCATGTCTGAGCATGGAGTGCTTATCTCTACACATTAACCTCAAACTCTTGGGCTCAATTAATCCTCTTGCCTCAGCCTACCAGGTAGCTAGGAATATAGGCACCCACTACAATGCCCAGCTATTTTTTTTAGAGACAAGAATCTCACAATTGCTCAGGCTGGTCTTGAACTCCTGAGCTCAGGCAATGCACCCACCAAGGCCTCCCAGAGTGTCAGGAATACAGGTGTCAGCCACTGTTCGCAGCTTGGAGTTTATCTCTTACCAGTTGCATGGAGAGTAGTGGGAGGAACAAGTGGGCCTACTTTAACAGAGAAGCATTCATTGTAGATGGAACGTGTGTAGAGTATGTGTTTTGTGACCATATTTGGTGTATGTGAGTCTACAAATTTGTGAGAGGAGCTGTTATATGTCCACTTTGCTTAAAAGCCAAGAAGGCAAGGAGGAAAAAATCTACTTCTGAGTAATAAAAGGGAGGAAATAATAAAGCTTCTACATGTAAAGAAAATTGTTTTATGGTTTCTAGTTATATCCTTAAGCACAAATTCACATGTAAGAAGAGGGATTCAGAGTACAGATAGAGTGTGAATCATGACCCTGCCACTTAACTATTTGAGTTACCATAAACAAATTATTTAATTTCTCATTTTCTTCCACTTTACCCACTATCAATTCCTGCCACACTCACCATTATATTTCACTAAATACCCCATGCAATTTCTGCATGCCTTTGCACAGTGTTTGCCTTCTTTCTGAAATGACCTTTCTTCCCTTCAGTGGTAAATGTCCATTTATAGTTCCAGACTGACTCATATCATTTCTTCATAAAGATTTTCCCATATTCCCTAAAATATCCATTATTCTATCTTCTATGCCTCCTCAGCACAATTAAATCAACGTTTATAGCTTTTTTTTGTTTTGTGAGATAGAGTCTCTCTCTGTTGCTCAGGCTAGAGTGTCATGGTGTCAGCCTTTTAACTGTTACATCATAATTATGTCTGACTCTTCTACCACTTTGCAACATCCTAGAGAAACTGTATCTTATCTATGTTTATAGTCTCAGGACCTAGCAGGGCACTACATATATACAGGGGAAAAATAAATTTGTTGGCTCGGCGCCAGCCACATATACCTAAGGTGGCGAGTTCAAATCCCCAGCCCGGGCCCGCCAAACAACAATGATAGCTGCAACCAAAAAATGGCCAGGCATTGTGGCAGGCACCTGTAGTCCCAGCTACTTGGGAGGCGGAGGCAGGAGACTCGCTTGAGCCCAGGAGTTGGAGGTTGCTGTGAGCTTTGATGCCATGGCACTCTACCCAGGGGGATAGCTTGAGGCTCCATCTAAAATAAAAATAAAAAAAAAGAAAGAAAAATAAATTTGTTAGGCCCAACCATCTTTTTTCTTTAATTTATTTATTTTGAGACAGAGTCTCACTCTGTTGTCCCAAGTAGAGTGCCATGGTGTCATAGCTCATAGCAACCTCAAACTCTTGGGCTCCAGCAATTCTCTTGTCTCAGCCTCCCGTAGGTGGAACTACAGGCGCCCGCCACAGCTCTCTATTTTTAGAGACGGGGTCTCACTCTGGCTCAGGCTGGTCCTCTTTTTTTCTGCTCTGGGTAGAGTGCCGTGGTGTGTCATAGCACACAGCAACCTTAAACTCTTGGGCTCAAACAATCCCCTTGCCTCGGCCTTCCAAGTAGCTGAGACTATAGGCACCCAACACCATACCCACCCAGCTATTTTTAGTAGAGACAAAGTCTCACTCTTGTTCAGGCTGCTCTCTGACTCCTGAACTCAAGCAATCCACCCGCCTAGGCCTCCCATAGTGCTAGGATTATAGGCTTGAGCCACCGTGCCTGGCCCATTTATGATATTTTCAACTCATAATGAGTTCATTGGGATATAACCCATCATAAGTTGAGGAACATTCATGTTTCATATGTAGTCCTTCCATATTTCATAGCAACCAGTATATTTCCTTACACTGATACTAAGTTTTAAAAACTTATGATGGAAATTGTTAGACATATATAGACAGAGAGAAGAAATAAACCTCATCAATTTGTCACCATATGGCCAATCTTTTTTTTTTTTTTTTTTTTCTGCCCAGGGCCAGCCCATGGCCAATCTTTTCTAGTGTATATTTCCAAATTTCATTCATGTATATTTGAAGCACTTATAGTCTGTCTTTTTTTTTTTTTCCTGAGACAGAGTCTCACTTTGTTGCCCTTGGTAGAGTGCTGTGGTGTCATAGCTCACAGCAACCT